AAAAGTTGAGAATACCTGCCTCGAACAAGTAACGCATACACAATGGTATCTTTTCGGTTTGAACCTTTACCTAGTGTAAGCAACTCAAAGTTGATAACGAATCAGTGACGGGCTTAAGCCTAGGAGTCACGATCCAAAGCTATAATCGGAGATGCCACACACGTACTTGTCTCTTCTCTAAAGCACAACCACCAACTAGGGTAGCACTATTATGGCCATGTGTTGATCCTGTTTCATGAGCATTCACAAAAGTTGACCTCTACTTTTGTTAGAGCGGCACCACTCTTAATGCTCACATAGGTGACATTCCAAATGAATTCATTAAGAGTTCTATAACTCATCTCAAGAGTTCTATAACTCACCCTTCTTTGGACTAATTTACTTGTACAATAAAATAGTACCTCAGTTAGAGTAACTTGTTATTACCACATTGAACCTTTTAATTAGTGAATACCTAAAGAAGAGGTTGGGTTCCCATTACTTCTAACTACACAAGAGGTCTCAATCACTAACCTTGGGATGTCTCATAGATCATGCCTCTTGGCAATCCCTTGGTAAGAGGATCTGCCAAATTATTGCTTGATCTAACATACACAATATAAATAAATCCATTAGAAATCAAATATCTAACGTAGTCATGTCTAAGGCTAGTAGCTCTAGAATTACCATTGCAAATCTTGTTATAAGCTCTCGACAAAGTAGCCTCACTATCACAAAAGACAGAAATGGATGGCATCGGTTGTGGCCACAACTCTATACTTAACAACATGTTTTAGCCATTCTGCCTCTTTTCTAGCCTCCGCAAGATCAAGAAATTCATCTTCCATGGAGTGTAATACACATTTTGTTTATTCGAAACTCAAGAAACAACTCCACTACCTTGTGTAAAAATCTACTCATTGTATATTTATTATCACTAGCACTTGTTATCCAACTATCATGAGAAACATCTCCCCCACTATTCTCCCACTTGCCAAACTATCATGGAACAATTCCATTTTATTTTCCATTACTTATTGAACTTTCAACTAGGGGTGCACATGGGTCGGGTGGTTCGGGTTTAACCATTTTAATCACCCGACCCATGCACTACGGTTTGGAAATTATCAAACCCAAACCCACCCAAAAAAATTAAAACCCTACGGTTTGTTTCTAATTGGGTTGGGTCGGGTTGGCGATATTTTTAAGTAAAAACCCAACCCAACATAAAAATATATAATTATTATACACCATAAAAATATTTTATAACTAATTAAAATTTCAAACGAATAAACCGAGGTGAAAGCTATCAAAATTCAAAAATGTTGTTTGAATTTTAATAAAATGTGATTTACTTCAACATATGTCTAGTTTTTTTCACGATATTTGTTGAAATAGGCTAAAAAGGTTATAAACAAACGCATCCATAATATGTTATTCTATTAATATTGTACACAAGAAAAAGGATTACGTGAATCATAACTATACTCAATTTATGTCTAAACTTTAAGTCGAAGAATGCATTAGATTAGGGAGACCATGATAGAAAACATGGCGAAATATCTTAATTTTCTCATAAGTATTGCTATATACGACACAAATATTTTTTAGATACGAACTCATACTAATAGTTGGAACACGGGTTGGGTCGGGTTCTACGGGTTGTGTAATCCAAAATCCAAACCCAACCCAAAAGAGGCGGGTTGTACAAAAGAAAACCTTCACCCAACCCAAAACCTTCGTTTTAGCGATAAATACGGGTGGGTTGGGTCGGGTTGGACGGGTGGGTCGGTTTGCGGGTGTGTTTGTTCACCCCTACTTTCAACCACTACATTGATCTAATTATTTACCAATGGTATGGACTTATTAAGTTAGCATACCACAAATAATTCAGATATTATTAGAAATATCATCTAATTACTTACCAATGGAATTAGTTAAGGTAACTTGAGATGTCACAAGTAATTCAGTTGCATTTCCAGATTGTATTGGAAATACCATCTAATTACTTACCAACGACTTTTCATCAAGGTAACTTGACATACCACAAACAATTCAGATGAACTTTTCTACATCGATAGTGTACTTACTTTCCAATGGTATAAATTTATATAGTATACCATAAGTAATTCACACTTGAAGTTCAATAAGCTCATCTTAATTGAGCTTTCATGTCAAATTGTTTGCCAATAGTATATATCTCATATATATACCATAAACAATTCTGACAAATAGTTTCACACAATAATCATAGGTCAATTATTTTCCAATGGTATAGTGTACATATACCATAAACAATTCTAGCGATGATTATTTTGATGGTTACCATTCTTTGACAAGCTTATTCAATTCCTATAAGGATTTCATCTTAGTGTCATTTTCCTTGCCCTCATGGCATATGAAACATGAAGTCATAAACCACACACATGATAAACAAATTGTCATATTGGGGGAACGCTTTTCAGCATTATTTCAATTTAGTTCAAGATCACAACTCAAACAATTTTGGTACATAATCCAAATTGTTCTATCTTGCAAACATCAAAATTGAAACTCATGCAAATTTTGTTGACCAAATTTGTTTCAAGAATTCAACGTGAATTCTTCCAAATTCAAACAAGTTGAATTTCTCCAAACTCTTCTCATAATATGATGAGTTTGTAATCATCTAGAAAAGTATTTGATATCACTAACCAAATCAATTGGTTAATTTTTTTATCGCAGCATGTTCCATATATATCAGAAGAATCAACGGTTGTATCCATTCAAATTAATCCAACCAATGCTTTGGTTCATGAGAGCAATACCTCGTTGGATCAAATTAATCAACAATTTACATGCAAGTATATATATGCATGCATGAATGAGATCTAGGAAATACTTTTTTTTTTTGGTAGAATAGGAAATATCTTTCTGGTGCTTCTGCAACCAAGTTCCTTCCTTTCTTTTCTTTATGGCCATAACACCTTTTTCTATATATATATATATATACTCTATTATATTTCACAAACAATATATAGGAACCGTACGCTCCCTTCCATCAACAGTAACAAACATGTACAATATATACACGTCCAGAATCTCATGCATATATAACCTTTACTCTATTTTGTTTTATTAAACAACGAAATCCAAAATGGAATTCCTTTCAGAAGACAAACAAGAAAGCCAATTCACAATGCATGCCTGGAGACTAAGTGCATAAATTGTATAAAATGGACCTTGCCAATGACAGAAAGAAAAACAGTACCCGGAGTCAGCAATATTTCCACTCATTGCATGTATACGAAGTTGGGAACCGCGTGAGTTCTGTGCACTATTTCTTTCTTTTTTTTTTTTTTCCATAATCCTTTTCGGCATAGTGGTACCTCAAAATTTTAAAACCAACAAAGACAGCGAGAGCCACACTTGTTGGAATCAAAAGCATACGCCTTCAACGCACTCTCCACTCCAGAATCCATTTTTCAAGAAATAATACTCTAAGATTGTCAGAAATTGGTAGGAAAGAATTGATTGAAGCCGTGATAAGATCGCTCTCCTTAGAGTGTTATTTGCCCCCACTACAAATTGCTGGTAGGCTCGAGCAAACCACCCCCAGGAGTCCCTTGATCAATTCTAAGTCTGGAAGCTGCAATCTTGCAGACTTCTGTGTTTATGAAATAGAGAAGGAAAACGGGAAGAAGAAGAATTCTCTCATTCATGTTTCGTCTAAAAAGAGTTATGGCAGTCATCTATTTATAGTTGTGAAAATTGGAAGTTACCTTCCGAAGAGATACATCCTTTCACAAAACAAGGTAATTACCTTTCCTGAAAGGACAAATCCTTTCACAGAAAAGGGAAGTTACCTTTCTAGAAGGACACTTCTTTTCACAATATTCAAATGCTAATTAATTAATATAAAAATTAATTAATATAAAATTAATTAAACTGCCAAAATACTCAATTCTTATACTTTTCTTCTCCCATCAATGTGGTATTACAACTCTATTGACTAACTATAACACTTTCATCTCCAAATTTGGGATGATCCCCACTTTTATCATTTTAGCTCCAATGTTATCATTTTCAAATTTGGGGACATCACTTTTTTTTAAGAATTGAAATATCATATCATATCAACAGTTAGACCAGAAAAACCTCCTACGGGAGGCTAAATTGGTAGGCGATATTTAGCGGTATGAAGCTATTGAACCATGGTTAAACCATGACTTTAGCATAAAATACCCTACCGCTGACTTTTCCGGTACAATCTACGGTACGGTATTTCAACCCTTGTTTTTTCTAATTTATATTTACTTATAAATGCACTTATGATCCTCTTAATATAATTTATTCATATTAATTTTTGTATAGTTAATCATCATTTTTAAATACAAATTTTTTAATAGAATTTTTTAAAATTTCGAGACTGAATTTGTTTTGAAAAACACTGATTGACCTAATTTGAGTTTACACAGAATCAATCCCATAATTAAATGACCCTAGGTTACCCTAATGAAATCCCATAATTAAATTCCTAAATTAAATATCGGGTTAGCATTTCTCCCGCCACTAGAACACTACCATCCCCAAATTAACTTCCATCGCCATTTCCTTCACCATTTTTGGCGAAAAAAGAAGACGATCTCCCCCAATAATGGCGCCCCTCGGCATTTAATTGGCCGCATTGGGATGGGAAATTTGTCATTAATGGCGATATCCCCAAAATTGGGGTGACCATTGGAGTCAGCCTTAGGCGAATGGACCTCCATGTGTAACAAATTTGCCTTCCATTTTTGCTTCAATTGCCCGATTGTGTTGCAATATTGCATCCGACCGATCACATGGGTATAAGTAGTATCAGTCTTTTCTATTATCATTGGGTTGGGATATTGGTTTATGTTTAGGACTGGTACTATAGTTTATGTCTTGATTAGAAAGTAATTGTTTACTTATTGTTTTAGGATTTGTTTACATTGTCTTTGGGGTAAAAGGGTTTGTGAGATTAGTCCTATAAATAAGTATATTTACTCTACATTTTTTTTATCAAGAATGAAAAGTCAGGTAATTTAGTAGAAAATAGATGGAGCTTTATCGTGTTTCCTTAGTTTATCGCAAAGAGTTTGAGATAGTTGTACGACACATGACATCCTTCACGCGTTAATTGGTGTGAGAGTGTGGTTGTTCCACGACTAGGTTTGGAGATCATGTCGTCGAAGAAAGCGACTTAGCAGACTGCATCACACGAGACTGCCACCGATGAGGATGTTGGACTGTCACAGATTCGAGAGATTCTAGAGGTAAAATGGGAGACGCGAGCCATGTTTCTTCAGGAAATCATTGAGTGCGTCGCCAAAGTTTGGGTCTTGAAGTTGGAACAAGATGAGTTGCAAGCCAATCAGGAATTGATGAAAGCGGCGTTGAAGTCTGTGCAGGAGGATACAAAGACGGGGTTTCAAAGGATGGATGTCATGTTCGACGATCTTAAGGCGAGAGTCGCGCTGGAGGAAAGGAGGACCGTGGACCATATTTTATTTGGAGAGAAGCAGAAATTGACGGTCGGAAATGAAGACAAGGAGGACATTGCACCGAAACCCACCAACCTAGGGGTGATGCTACCAGAGCCACAAGATGGGAAGGTGACGTCGGACGAGGATGAGGACCAGGACGGAGGAAACAAGGTAGCGCCGAGGGCTGAGCTCCCTCAGTCTGCCACAAGCACAAGATAGGGAAACCTCAATGTCGATAGCTTGTTCGAGAGGAAGCAATCGCGCCGCGCAAGCTTGCTAGGCTCTCGCAGAGCTCCCCAAGGATTAAGGCTAAAAATGGGAGGCCTAAATGGAGCCTTAATATATGGATTCTGGCATAACCAAACTAAAGCAAAGGAGCAATGAGAGAATTAGATAGGGCCCTGATATATGGCCGATCCACCGCCACACCAGAGAAGCTACTACAACGGGCCGAAAAATTATAGGAGTAGGACCAAACTAGGGGGACCTAGTCGAGCCGACCATGGCTCACCAGGCCATGGCTTCGTATATGGGTTGTACTATCCTCCGAACAACCAGGGTAATGATGAGGGAAGCAACTGAGCCAGGCGGCACCATGAGCATATAGGATCGGCCTAGCACTAGGAGAATCGTGAAGGGTACTTGCCGGGAGAAACATCGGGGCATCATGGCGGACACGAGAGTTATCATGAAGAAGACATGCACACTATGTTTAAACTATGCCTCGCTCCCCTTGAATTTCCAAAATTTACAGGTCTAGAAGAGCCATTGTGGTGGATCTCTCGAGTCGAGAGATATTTAGATACCAACACATTTCGGAGGAAAAAAAGGTGATGGTAGACACCTATCACATGGACGAAGATGTGAGGTAGTGGATCATGTGGCTTGAAGAAGAATTTTCCAAATATAGGAGAGCGATAACCTGGGAGAATCTTTAAAGGGAATTAGTGAGAAGTTATGGATCATTAGAACAATCGTCCGAACATGCGGCGATGTCCAAGATTCGGCAGACGGGAATGGTAGACGAGTATTAGCATAATTTTGAAAAATTGGTGAACCACTGCAATGGATGGACGAAAGTAGTCATCATGCTTACATGGGAGGCTTAAAGCCAAATATTGTGACTTTCATTCGTGATTTCAATCCAGGATGTAGAGGGGGAGCATATTGTTTGGCTAAGATCAAGGAGTAAAAGTACCCCTTGGATAAAGCGATGTTGCGATCGACTCATCGATCGAACGTGCCTATCGCCGAGCCACCAAAAACACCAAGTGAGCCATACCCAGCTATAAATACTCAAGGGCAAGGGTCGGTTCAACCAAACGTGCCAAGGTGGATTATCATAAATATGTCTCCTGAGGAAGCTATGCAGCGTCGTATAGATGGGCTATGCTATAAATGTGACGAGCGATTCACTTATGGACATTGATGTGCTAATAACAACCATGTGTTCTTCATGAGAAGTCAAGTAATTTAGTAGAAAATATTTTTTGTTTCATCACGTTTTCTTAGTTTATCGTAAAAGAGTACGATAGATCTACAATGCGTGAAATCCTTTACTCATCAGAATGATAACCTATTGATTGCATAATTTTCCTGGCCGCGAAGCAATGATGGTTCTTCTTCACCAGCTTGATCTTCATAACACTTTTTTTTTTTTTTGCATTTAGATCCACAATAAGAAGTATGACATAGTAGAAGTTAGGTTGCAATTAGCTATTATTAGTTCCTCCGCAGCTCGAGGGTACAAATTTTAGTATGGTACAACCTAAACTTATACATTTAATGTTATGGTACATCTTCAAGTTGTACATTAAGGCACCAATATTATATAGCATAATAGTAGTGCTCTCTAAACTTATACATTTAACGTTGAGCTACAACTTCAAATTATACATTAAAACACCCATACTTTAGAGCATAGTAGACTCCTCTAAATCCATCTCTCTTATACATTTTCATTGTTGATATAATAGGGTCCAAAGTGTTCAACGAAAAAAAATGGGGTCCATAGTGAGAATCCAACTTTTCTCCCCCACAAATTAGAACGCTGATATTTAGTCTAATCCAAAATTGTTCAACACTTCATATCCATAAGCAATTACCAAATTTAGTGCTAACTTTTTTAGCCATTATCAAAATCTCCTCAACACTCATTATCAGCAAAATAATAATGGACGTCACTTTCCTATGTCATATTTCCCATGTTTTCGTTTTAGGAATCTTCTTTGACCGAACACCACAAGTTCTCAACTAGCAGAATATCGTTAGCGAATTTCCCCCCTTTTTTTTACATAATCACAAAAACAAGGAGGCGGGTAAGGACCAGTATCGTTGATAACGATACAGATGTGGTACCACATGTAATATGAAAAATAATTACACTAAATTATTGTTAAACGTGTCTGTGAAATACGTTATGTTTATTAAACTCTAGTTTTCCATTTGTCTCTTTCACTTGTCAAATTCATCCCCTTTGAATATAGTAGGTTTCCTTGAATACATCAGATATGGAGTGGTGTTATCATTAATGCTTGGTTCTTATCTTAATCCCGTTAAACATGGTAAAAATGCTTATTGGGAATTTCATATGCAATTAGAGATTCCCGCCCTCACGAGAACTCGTTGTTTGTTAACTTTGAAGTTTTTTTTTTTTTTTTTTTTTTTTACAATAGGAGCAGTTGTATTGCATTGAGAATCACAGTTACAAGGAGTGGGAGAAACACAATGAAAGCAAAACAACAATGAACTCAAAAGTCAGATCAATCCAAACCAAAGCAAAAGCCAGAAAGAACTGGAAAAGATTGAATCCAACAGAAGAATCCAAAACAGAAGGCTATCAAAGTGAACCCAGAACCCCTTGCTTCCACAACAATCAGCACAACGCAAGCAAGTTTTCAACTCGCCCCAAACCAGACAAGCCCATGACTATTGAACATTGCAACCCCAAAAGCCGCCACATGGGGATCGTTCAAAGACGACCCATCACAGTGAATCTCATGGAAGAGAAATCTCGGCGGTGAGCAGGCTGAAACCGGGATGCTCTGAGCTGAAAGAGGCCGATGAAGCCGGAGGCATGGATGACCAGGAACCGGGAAAGAGAAGATTCTTCTTCACCATCTCCATAGAACCAGCGAACCACAACCCACAACACCAAAAATGACACCAGACCCCCACAACAGTCAACCGACAGGAATCAAGCAAACCAAAGGTAGAAGGAAGGAAGGAACAGTGAATCTGCCCACCAAAAGAGATGAGCACACCAACATGGAGCAGACCCCCAACAACAAACCACCATTAGAAGGTCTCCAAGCTGCAATTTTTGGATCCAAGGAGCAAGGCCAAACAGATCTACGAACCAGAAAAACACTGTGGATAAAACCACTTGGAGAAAGACCACAAGGATATGGAAAAAGCCAACAAGGGCAGGAGAAAGGCAGCAGGACAGGCAAGAAAATAAAAAAACAGGAAAGAAAAGAGGTTGGGCTACCGCCGGACACCCAGGGGAACCGGCGGCAGCCCTGAATGGATGGGGAAAAAGTGAAAAACCAAAGGGTGTATATCGGGGTGTTGTTGCTCTGGTTTCAGCTTCAATGGCCTCGATCCATTGAAGTTTAAGTTATAAATTTGATCCTTGACAAAAAGGAGTTGATGTACATTCCTCACTTTTTGGAGGTGACTCCCTGTTTTTGTTTGGCATTCTATGTTGTCCATGGTTGTTGTAACATCCTGAACCTTTTCCCGATGAAGATATTGTCCGCTTTGGGCCTCGAACCCCACGGTTTTCGACTTGGGGTGCAATTCAAAGTGACTTCCCATAAGGTCACTCATCCTTGTTGTACTCCACACTGGGCACGTTTAACTTCGGAGTTCTCACAAGAACTCCTCAATTTCACCCCAAAACACGTCTTGTCAGTTAAGGCCGGTTTCCTACTTATGAACCATGGATCTCTCCCGTGCTTTGTCGATGTGGGATTTGCCTAAGGTGTACAGTTTTTGCCCTACAAAAAGGATCGGTGCTTAGTCATTAATTTTAACCAAAACGAAAATTGGTAAAACATTGTTGCCCATATTGTGGCCAAAAGGCCCTCTCTTCTCATACTCGTCTTAGTACAATCCACTCTAAGTTGCGTGAAAGTAATGCGAAAAAGGTTAGAGTGCTAACACAGAAAAACCTAATTTGTTAGAATAGTGCCAACACTAATCTCAGGCAATAGAATATTTCCTTCTGCATGCTTTTTATGTTGAAAGGGTTTACCAAAATTTAATGCGATTTTTAAAACACGGGCACACCGGTTATTTTTAAAGTTTATTAGAGCAACATACGTGCTGACCACAAGTTTCATGAAGATCATAAAAATCAAACAAGAAACCTAACAAATCACACCAAATAATTTATAAAGTAGACCAGAAAGTTCATAAAGTAGACTGTATCCTCACCTAATCGCAAAACTCATAAATCATACCAGAAAATTCAAAGCCGACCACAAATTTCATGAACCATATGAGAAAACTCATTAACCTGACTAGAAGTATCATTAAGTAGCCCAAAAAAATCATAAAAAACACGAGAAACTACGTCAATAAATCATAAAGTAGATCAGAAACCTCATAAATCATAACAAAAAATGTAGAAAGCACACCACAAACCTGACCACAAATATCTTAAAACATGCAAGACAACTCATAAAGCTGACCACATATATCACGAAACAAACGAGAAACCACACCACAACTCTCACGAAGCATACGCGAAACCACACCCGTAGTGGTGGATTTACGGTGTGGCCACCCCAGGCCAAGACCCAGCCCTGCTCTAGGTCCCGACCTAGTATAAGATTTTGTGTAACTAGTAAAATAGTTCAGATGAACATATTCAAATCACTAATCTAAATTTAGTCTAGAAATTCTAGCCCTAATGATTTGTCTTTGAAAAAAATAACAATTAAATCTAAAAGTCTAAAACATAAAAGACTAAAAGAAATATGAGGTTTCTTCTCTTGTAAAATTACTAGAGAAGGTGGTGGAAATATTGATAGTAACACAACACAAATTAATTAATCGGTTGATACGTCTAGTGTTGATGTATCTCATTTCAACTACTAAGGAAAAAAACCTTTTTTTGTGAATGAAAAGAAACTTTTCAACAATGAAACATGTGAAAACTGATTTGCGCAACAAATTAGCGATGAATTTCTCGTTGATTGCTTAACTATTTTATTTGAAAGAGAGTGTGCTATTGGTATGGATAAAGACTTCATTACTGATGTATTCGTGAAATTGAAATACCATTGTGTACAATTGACATTGTAAAGCAAATTATGGTTATTTAATGGTGCATAATAACCTTACATAACTAAATTTGGGTAGTTCATTTTAAGTGGCCACCAGATCTAAGGGTTTATCAATTAAAGCCTTTTTATTTTCCCTAGTTTTTTTCAATCATTTCTTATCTTTGTCATTCTAACTTGGATTTTTTATTTGCACCAATGGAACGAGTTCGATGTGCTCTACAAAATGAGATTCATTTTCAATATATTTCGGGAGAAAATTTCATACCACTCATTACGACCTCCATACCATATGTTATCTCCTTCACTTTTAAGACGATTTAGAAATTTTTTACCGAGAAGAAACGAATTCATCATGATCTATTGGATCTATAAATTTCTGGAGAAAAAACAGGACCAAAAAATACCACCTAATACCACCCTGGTATATGGGTGATATCTTATGGTACACAATGTTGAAAGTTGTAAATAACAGTTAGTATATTTCTACTATCATTAATTCAAGCATTCTACAATTTGGTATGTTCATACCAGCATGATAAACTTCCATACCACGTGGTATGCTGCTATGTAATAACTAATAACAAACAATACCACCATGGTATATAGTGGTACTAAATGCCTGAATAAAATTTATTCAAAATATATATCAAAGTGAATATCATTTTGAAAAATATAATTAATCTGATTTATCTGTGAAAAAAATATTAAATTTAAACTTTAAAAAAGAGATATAACCCATTAAAATTTGGAGAGAAAAAGATTAAAGTCTTCCATAAATAATGATGCGGTAGATTATACATATGTGTGCACTAGAAAGTTATACACCATAACTGCTCACTCTAGAATGCTATAGCTAAAATCTTAGAAAATAAAGAAACCAAAATCATGTAAACAGAGTTCAATGGCACAGTTGTGGATTAACTTAACCAGGTTGGAGAAGATGCTGTCAAAGAATAAAATAAAGAACAAAATAGTAGGATGACAATTTTGGACAAATTTATTAGTATTTATTT